AGTGGTGGAGTCCCCATCCCTGGAGGTATTTAAAAGACGTGTAGATGCGGCGCTTAGGGACATGGTTTAGTGGGCATGGTGGTGTTGGGCAGATGGTTGGACTTGATGATCTTAGAGGTCTTTTCCAACCTTAATGATTTTATGATTCTATGATTCACATTTTTCTAAGAAGAATGTGTTAAAACATAAACTATATAGTATAAGCCATCCTTATTTTGGATGGGAATATTACTCATCCTGAGACTCATCAGAACACTTACTTGAAACAAATCTTGCAGAAAAATGAAAATAGCTCTGTTGCCTGGCTTTAGAGTAGTGCTTCTCCAAAAATAAACAGACAAAACAAATGGTAGCAGAGTCATTTCATTAAAACTTAAATGAAATAACCAACAGATATAAATCTTGAGACTACATTAAGTGAAGCGTCAAAATACCTTGGAGGTTCGTAACATGAAAATAACACTGTCATGTATGTTGATTTGGGGTTTTCTGCTTGAACAGGTTAGCTAGGTGTTGAAAAGCTGATCTGCAAAAGACTGCATAAATCTAATTGCTGTTTTCATCTTTGGTTTGTGAGACTTAAAGAGGTCTTAAAGGATAGGTTTTCTTCACTTCTGTTTTACAGAAAGAAACTACTGCTATTTCTGAAAGAGGTGTTAGATTTTGCTTGTAGGTGTGTAGTAATGACGTGGAGGAGTAAGTTATTTACTTGTTAAATCTTTGCTGACTGCGGGGGTGTGTCTGAAGGCATTGCTGAATGTTTTGGGTGCAAGGCTCCATTTTAGTGTAACTGCTCATTTGTTTTTGACTGCCTGAAAGACTGTGGGGAATCTTAGAGCTGCTCAGAAAGAACAAAAGGCAAAAAAATCTGTTTAACAGTAAAAGTCTTCTGAAATACAAATGTCTTGTTTCTGCTCCAAACTCTCAACTCCAGCTGTCTTTTCTGTAATCTCTGCCCCGAGCAAAATGATTGTTTTCATTAGGGCCTTTGGACCCATGTGGGATCTCTGTTTCCTCCTGTGTTTAGACAAGGATCTGATGAACTGCTGAGATGGCCATAATAGAATTAGATGGTTCCTTTATTTAACACCTTACTCACTCTTAAAGAGCTTTTCAACACAGCAGGTTTCTTGGGTTCTGAGAATGATCCTGGGGAAACCTAGGCCATTGTTTTCCCTTTTGTATGCTGTTTAATATGCTTGTTCCCTCAAGTTCTATTAATGTCCAGCAGGGCAAGTCCAGATAGACTTGCTTCAGAGGGTTTTGAAAAGGATTTGTAGCCTTTCTGAATGCACTAGAAGGATCAAAAAAACAGCAAGAGCTGTCTAAGTCCTGATACAAAACCATATAAGGAGACCCCTTTGATATGAGAAGGGGCTCAACCTTTGTACCTGGCTGCCTTGAATTCTCCTAGTGGTATTCAGAATAATTCTCAGGGCTGCCTTTACATCTGATAATACTGCAGACATCTAACAAGTGAGTTTTGGCTTGAATTAGCATTTGCTTGCTGAATAGGAAAAGACCTGGTTTATAACTTAAACAAAATACTAATTTCCAAACCATATGTTACAAAATAAAGCTAAATTCAGTAATAGAAGTAACTCAGAGTTCAGTAATAAAAAGAACTCAGGCTATAGTCTTTTACTAAAATTTATGTAAACATCTATCTTGTATAGTGGCTAGAGTTTTTTAGATACTTGAATTTTATATCAAGGGCCAGATCAGAGCCAGGCTTAATTGGGGCAAATGCTTGGTAGGCTTTTTCTTGCACAAGTTTTCAGTTATTTCACTTTGCTTTTCAAGTATTGATCCTTCCAGAAGAAGTCTGTAAACGAGCATACATAGTAAAAGCAGTTAGGACCAACCTGTGCTTCCAGACCTGGAGCTGTTATTCAAGGATGGTACTGTAGCCTGAATACCTTGAGTACTGGGAAGGTAGCCGTGCCAGCATGGAGTGCAAAGTGGGCTGTCAAAACACACCCAGGTTATTTGGTCTGTGCTTGGCTGGCAAACCTGCATGGACTTTCTTGTTGCCATAGCTGTGCAGTTCTTCAAACACAAGCTAGTGAGTTTAAAGTCACCACAAGTAAGGCAACCCAACCTGAAATTGCATCACTAGTGATATATTGCAGATGGGAAAGGTACTAAGCCTCCATAGTCTTCTGGTTTGCTTTTACCTGAGCAGGCATATAAAAGTACAGCAAGTTTTCTTGTGTTCTGTAGCCTGGCATGACCCACAACTGTCATGTGCTGTATACTGAGTCAGCTAGCTTTGAATTACGATATGTCTGTAATAAAATTGCCTGGTAAAATTAGCAGCATAACTAATCAGCCATATAACTTTAAGGTTGAAAGAAAATAAGTACGACCTGAGTGTTTGTTTTTTAATTTAAAAAAAAAAAAAAGTAATTGAGATATTTTGGGGGGGGGTGTTTTGCACTTGGCATGCCAGTATGTCGGTTTAAAAAAAAGTCATTCTGCTTCCTCTGGACAAATTTATTTTCTTAAGTAAGGGTCCTAACAGTAGATCCATGTTTCCAGAGTAGCAGAGGTAAGTAAAATAATACCACTTTAACAAAGCTGATAATTTTTTAAAAACTACTCTAAGATCCTTGAATTAAAGGTGCCAAGAGGCTAAATGTTTATGTAATTTTCATTATTGCATGACTGATTAAAAAGGCTCCAGCGTATTAGAAGTAATGTGGGTTTACTCTGCATCACTCCTCAGTAGAACTAATTCAGTAGGACAGCTGCTTGAGGAAGAAGCCATGCATAGGTTAGAGGTGGGAATTCATTATTTTCAACTGTTTGGACCAGATGACTGCAAACCTTCACAAAGCTCTCTGCAGACTGTTACAGCAACTGCTGCTGTAGTTGATACATTGCTGTTTTCAGACTAACTGCTCATTAAGCAGAAAAATGCTCATAATGTTTAAACGTTATGTAAAAACTTATTTATATGCAAGAATATCTCAGAACTGGACCAGCCACGCTGAAACTTATGCACTGCCGTAGGAAATGTCTTTCTAAATGAAAGAAATGCTATTGGGAGTTAACTGTATAACATGTAAAGAATGCTTACAAACAATTCTTACTGTATTTTGCTTTAAAAGCAAATTGAAAATGTATAGGTCTTATTTGTTTCTGTTAATTTTTACTTTTTAGGCAGTTGAATCAATCCAGGCTGAAGATGAAAGTGCGAAACTCTGCAAACGTAGGATTGAACATCTGAAAGAGCATAGTAGTGACCAGCCAGCTGCTGCAAACATGTGGAAGAAGAAACGTATGGATCGTATGATGGTGGAACATCTTTTACGCTGTGGCTACTACAATACAGCTGTAAAACTAGCAAGACAAAGTGGTATTGAGGTTGGTAGCAATGTGCACTAACTTACTAACAAAATGGTAGTAAAGAGGAAGTTGGCAAATAAGAACAAGCTGCTTTAGCCCTGTAGCAACTATTTTTATGTATTAGCATGCCTTTATTACTAATGTTTATCTGTTAATCTTTTTAGGCCTGAGTTTGATCTGCTTACTTGACTTAAATTGTATTTTAATGTATTAAATAAGTCAAAATTGAAGGCAAGTCAAAATTGAAGGCATAACTTTTAGTCACAAATTAAATGCTTTAGATAAACACCTTGCCCTATTAAAACTTAAAATAATTCTCAAATGTCATACAGAATTTCTTGTTAGAGGCCTTTAGGCTGCTGATTAAGCAGTTGGTGGAGCTTCCCATCTGTCTAGCCACACTTAGATGATATGCGTAGGTGACCAGACTGAGCAGAATAGCATATGCTGATTGCAGGAACAACTGTTTTATTGTACCATCCTACTGTTTAATGCATCGAGAGGAAAGCTGGCTTATACTCTGGAAAATAAATCTTGATACAACTTGGGTTTTTAGTAGCCAGTATATCTTGCATGGTCCATAGAAACTTTTTGCTGTTTTGCGTATTTCACCATCTACGATTCTGTGGTTGTCACTTTTCCTTTTCATTGGCTATCTAGTTGGTTTTGCTTTCCTTCTGTCTCTTATGAAATGTTTGGCGTTTGTGCACCTTGTTGTAGCTTCTTTATGCAGAGCAACGAATCCACACTGTGGTCCTCTGACAGCCACAAGGACATTAAAACTGATTCTTTAAGAATTTCCTGTTTATGTAGAGAAATCATCTTTTGATAATTTTAGGTAGCATTTGCTATTTGATCCTCAGTGATTCTTGAATTTTAAGTTCTTTTGATATTCCTGATTCCAGAAGGTATGCCACTCTTTTGGTGAAAATCTTTGTCCTATAAAGATACTGAGAGTTTAGTTGTATTATGTGACTTATGTACTTTGCCTATCTTAGCTGACATAGTTGAACACATCTCTGAGCTAGTTGAGGGGAAGACATCTTTGTTACTGGTGTCAAATTGCAGCATTTGTACTGGTTCTGTCTTGTACAATGAGCCTATGTCACATGTTTCTGTTACTCCTTGGCTGCTTTACCAGTCTGATCCTGTTCAACCAGCGGGGATTTCAGTAAACACCAAAAAGGAAACAGCAAGTAGAGGTTGAATGGAAGGGAGAGGGGAAGAAGTGGGTTACAAACTATTAATAGGAAATAGTCCTGAAGAAATTCACTGAAGAGGCTGCTATGCCTCACTAAAGATAGCCCATGCATGTGAATCAAAAAAACCAATACAATTGTTCTGGGATAATTGCATCTGAATGGTCAGCAGCTCTTCCACTTCTGGTAGATGTTTCCCTCTGTTTTGAGCAGGAGCTCATCTCGTGCTGAATCATCGTGTTACCGTACCTACTAGGTCTGCTGAAAAAGCACTATGGAAATATTTCACTTTCATAGCAAGTTCTATTGTGCCTGATTAAGTAATGCTCAGCTTTGGTTTAGACATGAGCGTGGAAGTCCATCATGATACACTGCAAGACCGTGTGGTATAAAGCGTTGCACTTGTGAAGCCTTAAAGCTTTTCATTCTGTTTGCTGAATAGAAGCTTTTGTGTTTAAAAAAAAAAAAGTTTTAAACAAGCTTATTTAACTTCTGCCTTCAAGGCTAAGTATTTTTATTTGCATAACATCAAAGTAACTTCAATAACACAGAACTTAGTTGCATATGTTGAATGCACTGAGGCCATATTTCTAGTTTGCTAAAATTATGCATTTTACTCAACAGGAAAGTTTACATTTCGGCTAAATGAGGATAGGCTTCCTTCAGTCTCTCACAGTTGTACTTGGTCTTTCTTACTGTATGGTGATACTCATTGTGAACAGCTTTTGTAATGGTGAGATACTGAGACTTGATCATTATACAGAATTTGTGGTTTTGCTGGTTTAGTAAGACAACTTCTCTTTCTTTTTGTTCCTTTCTTGCTGAAGGATATGAGCATTGAAACATTCTCTAATGCTTAATAATGTAACTTTGTTGTAGAGATTACAAAATATCATGGTGTTTTTCTCTCATCCAAAGTAATCTTTCTATTTACTGTGGTCTCAGCTGTAATTTTGATAAATGTCTCCACCACTGCAGGCTTCAGAAGCACATTACTGTATAGTGAACGTGGTCATGTCTATTACCTGATTTTTTTTTTTTTTGATGCTTCAAGACAATATTGTTACCACTGGGTAGGCACTATACCCTAAGTAGGAACCTGAAAAAAGCAGGGGGTTTTGCTCAACTTGTCCACCAGCCTCACCTCAGACTGGTGGACAAGTGGAGCATGACCCAGCAATGCGATCTTGTAGCGAAGAGGACTCAACAGCACTCTGGGTTACATTGGGACGAGCATCACCAGCAGGAAAGGGTGGTGATCCAGCCCCTCTACTCAACACTGGTTAGACCCATCTGAAGTGCTATATCTAGTTCTGGACTCCCCAGCAGACACACTGGGGTGTGGAGTCTCCCTGTGCTTGGAGATACTCAAACCCAGATTGGACTGGGGAAGGTCCTAAGTAACCTATTGTAGATGACCCTGCTTTGAGCAAGGGGACTACGCAACCTCCAGAGGTCCCAGTCTCAACCATTCTGTGATTCTGTTTCTGTGATTGCAGGCCAACTGGCTAAAAGTGCCCTTTGCCGCTATTTGAAAAGGCTGAAGGAAACAGCTCTTTCCGTTTCAGTTGCAGCTTGTGGATCTGAGGTTAAGCATCTTTCAGTAGCTGTTAGACCAGTCTTGGGAGCGTGTCTCAGCCTGCTTGTTTGAAGTTCCTTGCGCGGCTTCTGAATGCTAAGAGACCTGCAGAGCTGCTGAGGTACTTCATGGGTGGAAAAGTTTAGAAAGCATTCTGTTTCAGTGACCAAAAGCAAACCATTAAATCATTCATATGTTTGCCAGTAATACACAGCAGACAGTTTGCTCAAAGATCGACTATGCACCATAGTGTCCAATTCTAGTAGTTATTGATGGGCTGTGACAAATTCTAGTCTGCTTTCTAAGTTGACTACCTTCATAGGAATGATATTCTTGAATTCTTGTCATAGAAGATAAGTGCTTAAAAGCCATGGTTATAAACTAGGAAGCAAACAGCTATGAAAAGAAATGCTGGATGTGAAAAATCATAGGGAACGTTTAAATATCAGAGTTATGAACTAGCTCAAGTTAGGAATAACTTATGGCATGTGGTGCATATAAAGCATAATGTTATATGGCAATATAAGAAATAAACTACAAACATGTAATGTAGATAAGTGCTTAAAAGCCATGGTTATAAACTAGGAAGCAAACAGCTATGAAAAGAAATGCTGGATGTGAAAAATCATAGGGAACGTTTAAATATCAGAGTTATGAACTAGCTCAAGTTAGGAATAACTTATGGCATGTGGTGCATATAAAGCATAATGTTATATGGCAATATAAGAAATAAACTACAAATATGTAATGTGTGTGATATGTCTTTAAAGAAAAGTAGTGCTGCTTGGGAAAGTAAACCAAAATGTGAGTAATATTAAAGTAAGAGCTGACGGTCAAGGACAGAAATGTCACGTTTGTGCCAAAGTAAATATGGGGTGGAGGGGATTCTATTGTGGACTTTTTTCTTGGTGTCTTCTGGCTTGCTAATGATGTGAAAAACAGTTTGGGTTGAAGATATAAACTAGATGTTAAGTTTTTGTTATTGCATACAAATGAAGCTCATCAGTATCAGCTTGTTACACTTAATAATGATCTTATTTTGACTCTATTATGACCTTGGAGTGCAACACCAATATAAAAATGCATATTTTCATCTGCTGATTCATATATTCAGCTAGCTGGCAGTGTTGTCTGTTAACTTAAACTTTGCTATTCTATGTTCTGCTATGTTAAATGCTATCTCATTTCTCTGCCATTAATTGATAGGCAAATCTAGTTTTGGAAATGTGGTGTTCCAGTAGGAAGTTGGTTGCTGTTTGTAGATAAGTTTTATAATCAGGTTAGGTACATAGTGCTCTGTTTGCTGTTATTAGGGGTGAGGGTTTTTAAATTTCATGCTTTTTCTAGCCCCTTTGATAATAGGCTAGGAAGAAAAAAAAAAAAAAAAACATTTAAAGTGTCCTTATGTTCTTTGCTTAATTATGTAATAGCCATAGTGATTTTTGCCTATATGATTGAAAACAAACCCAGATTCTGAAGCTGCCAGTCTCTCTTATCATATGCTGTAAATTCTCTCTCTGTCTTTGCTTAGTTTATTTTAGTAAAAGAATGTGTCCTTGCCTTAATGCCCATACTGTACAAAAATTGTACAAGTGGCAGTGTTTTTTCTGTGGGGAATAGCATAAATTTAAACCAAGTGTCTGTGTGTTAGGGCAGGGAGCAAATGATTTAGAAATCTATAAACCACTGAGGGACAGAAGAACTACTACACCCCCAGGGAGGGTGGGCAGTGGCACTGTAAGGTTGCAGGTATAAGAGAACGCTTGAATTGAAACAACTCTTAAATAGCTTAAAACTGGTTAACTTGACCTTGCATCATGGATTATGCATGCCAATCAAAGTTTTGCAAATTAATGTTCTTAGATCAGTAATTAAGTAGGTGCGTCAACCTTCAAAGATACTTAACTAGCCATTTGCATTAATACCACAGTGTGCTTTTTGCTTTTGAAAATTGAGGGGAAAAAATTTGAATATTCCATAGACTTCAAAAGTTTTGTCTAGACACATGACCATTGTAAACATTGACCTGTATTAGAAGGGCTTCTTGACACTTCAAGCAGTATTAAACCAGTTGACAGCAGTCCTAAAAAGGTAACAGTTTTCTTGAAGTGGGAGTTCAGATCTTCAGTTTTTGTCAATGGCTTCCTTCTTGAGCAGAATTTCTAAATCTGTGGTAACGGTTGTTCCTGGAGAATATCAATGCAAGGCAGATATTGCAAAGCCGTTCTGAAAATACTTCA